GAACAGCCGCTGCTGGAGCCAGTGAAACTGCGCTCACCCGTCAGCCTTGGGTGCACTGTAGCTGGATGATCAGACACTGTTTTTCAAGTTACAGATTGAACTGAGAAAGCAGATTATTTTCAATTTTGGTTCAGTGACCTTCCTTGTCTGACGTTATTCCTCAGCTGCAGTGATACTTGGTTGTAAGGAAGTTACTTAATTTTCCTTTTTTTGCTTTCCCCCCCCCCCCCCCTCCCAAGTTCTTCTTTGAAAATTTGTGTGCTATCAAAATTAGATAAAAATGTAAAAGCAAACAAAGAGCCTCAACACATCTCTCCATGCCACAAATTTGGTGAGCTGTGTTACCCTCCCAGGACAATGCATTCCGTTTCACTCACAGATATCTGTGTTTAGATACATATTATGTCTAAGAGACTCTGTAATATACCCTTGATTTCAGGGCTTTATGAAAGACGTCAGAAGCAGAACTGCAATTAACTATTGCAACCCAATTGTTGTTCTTCACACAAGATTTGTGTTAAACAAAGTTTTATCTAGAAAAGTTTGAAACCTGCTTTGAAGATAACATTCTGTATGATTATTAGATCATGTGAACAATATAAATGCTATGATTTGCACTGACTTCAATGATTTACATGTTCTTTTCACCTTTATTCTTATACAAGTGAACAAGAAAAATCTGCATAAATTCAGTGAGATTTCCCATATCTAAAGTGAAAATCTCTGGCAAATTAAAACAACATTTCTATAGCACTGTATGGAAACTGGAAAAGGGGAAGGCAGCCATTTGACATTAGACGTATCATCATTCTCCACAGATCACCAGCAAATCCTATACAATACTCTGAGGTGCCTGCTGGATTTTGCAGGATGTGCTCTCAGAGGACTAGGAGGCCCTAAACTGGCAGGTAGAGAGATATTTCAAATGTTAATCAATCAGAAATGTTATTATTAGTTAATTTTAATAATCTTTTGTCTTACAAAAGAATGCTTGCGGCTCTGGAGCTGACTGGCAGTTAACTGTTTCTATGGCTATTCAATCCCTCAGTTTAGCTGCAATGCCCTCTATTGTCTCAAACCTCTTGTGTCGATAAACCTATTACCCTAGGTAAACCACATCAGCACATGATGCAACTTTGGATTCATTAATGTGGAGGCCAATTAAAAGATCATCCATGCTTTCCTAGCCTCCTAGGAAAAAAAGCCATGTCAATAGAGTTAAGCATATAGAATTCACTTATCAAATGATCTTTTTTTTTAACCTCATTATTCCACGGGGTATTGGAGTAAAAGTGGCACTGGCCCATCATTCAAACTGTGGATGCCAAGAATTACAGCTCAGCACAGAACGGCTTTAGAAAACAATGGAAAAAACCTCAGTCAGCCAGATCATACAGACACCCAGATGTTTTTTGAATCAAGCTCTGCCTCAGTCACAGAAGTAATGAGACATTCTTTGATGAACCCAATAATACAGATGGAATATCCAAAACAGCAACTGTAAAATACAGTTATCTTCCATCAAAGGAAGAAATTCTTCTCATCTGCTTCATCACTGCAGATGTGTCTCAGTAAGCAATCAAATTAAAAAGCAATCTTGAAAAAAAAACCAACCTTCTTACCTTTGAAAATAAGTCAAAGCACCCCAACCGGCTGATGACACAATAAACTTCAGGTAGGCGTGGACCTTTTCCACTTGGCTGATAACAATAAAAAGGAGATTGAAATTACATATTAATTTAAATCATAAGGAAATACCCTTCTGTCTCTGATCACACAGTTGGCCAGCATGTGACATTCTTCACTATCCGTTTCTCCATCAAAATAGCTACTTTTGGAAAAGCATCATGTTTCTTCTATAAGACAGGAAACTAAAAGGCATAAATAGTGCTTATCCACTTTGGAAATCACAGTGCACTGGAGCTGTATTCCAGTATCGCTCCAGCTTGCAGCCATAAAAGCACATTTGACTACGACTGTAACTCATGCCTGTGCTATCATCGTCCTCTGCTCCCACTGTGGCAGGAGGAGCGGGGCCACCCTGGGGCCATGTGCTGGGAGATGGGCACTACAATGCTAAGGGAGGTTATGATGGCTTTAGTTCCCCACTCACCCCATGATGTTCAAAGAGAGCTCGAGTCACAGAAAGCAAGCTTATAGACCTATACAAAGGCAAGGTGCATGAGCTAAATCATTAACTTGCTCAGACCAATGCATGGTAAACATCAAACTCTTAAATAACAATGGCAAGTATGAATCGATAAGGCACTTCTTCCCCACTACCCCAAAGAAAATGAACTATAAAGACCATCCTCTATAACCATCCCACTGAAGGTATCTTCTAGAGAAGCAAATGGTTTAAACTGGCATGACTGATGTCAGGGCAAGGGTGTCAGCACTGTGTGTGAAAGAAGGGTACAACCACCTGCTGGATTCAGCTTATTTACCACAAAAGAAGTACATCTAGGCCAGTACCAACCACTTTACAAAAAACATCATCTCTGGCAAAGTTCTCAGAGCAGAGAGCTGGTCTGCCTGTGTCCTGCATGCATACAATGCACACAGATGGCAGTGATATCCATGCATAGCAGCTTCCCACTATATTTTTAATAAGCTGTGATACAGCATTCCAGTTTTGTGTAGTTGCAACTGATTTTCACCAGATCCGCAGGCACACACTTCCTAGGGGCTGTTATTTTAACAAGGCAGCTTGTTGACTTCAAATGCAGGCACATGTAGTCCCAAGATACAATGCAAGGAAGTTGTAGCACTGCCTCGTCCAGGAGCTACATCCATCACGGCACAGAACGGCTGCAGGTACACTAGCAAACCCCGATACCCCAGCAGCAAAACCTGAAAGCAGGGTCTGAGACAACAGGCGAGGCTGCCCACTTCCTTGTGTCTCATGGAGTCAGCTGTGCTTGTGCCACATAGAGTGAAAGGTGTCTGTAAAAGAATCATTTGGCATCACAGCCTCTTTGTGCAGCTGTACATTATCGATATGCAGCAGTGACAGAATCCTCTCCATTAATAACAACTCTGTGATAAAGGAGCTCAGTCACTGTTTCCATCCGCTTCTGCCCACTCGTACATTCAGCCGAAGTGGCTGATCGCCTCCTCTGCATCCACACAGAAGGCCAGCATATTTTTCTCTTTGTCTCATCATTAGACTCTGTGATACAGGGATTAACTTCCCCACCCAGTGTTTGACATTTACATGCCACACAGATGTCAATCGAGAAACTGAGGGGTAGCTGTGCTTTTTAAACCTGAATATTGCAATCTAGACTTGGACAGTCAGCAGGTGCCTGCGCCTCTTATAATAAAGACCACAAAAAATACCAAAGCTAAGTGAATACAGATGAGTCTATTTCTGGATCCAAACCTGCTCACTACACGTCACATCTCTGAAAAAGCAGAGCCCTTTTTTGTCCATATTAGGTATAAAACCCTTTCTAAAGGCACTGAGTGATTATATCAAGCATGTGGGATTTTGGTTAAAATCATTGTGTCAAATCTGCAGGAATGTCGAAGCCATGCCAGGAGCCTTGGATAGCTCCCAACCAAGAGCTGTCTCACTGAGTGCCAGTAAAAACATCACATTCCTGGGTCATCTATAAGACTAGAAACAATAACTGCTTAGCGCTCAAAGATTCTTCTTTATGAAATATCATTGCTTTCAAATGTCTTAAAGGCTACATGTCTCAGGGCTGGGATTCTTCCCTCCTTGCACTCATCGTATCAGACATCCTTTTTTGTTATTTCAGAGACTTTTTCTTGCAAGCAGCACAACCTCCCAGATGCCTACAAATCATCTGTAAGAGGCAGCAAGCAAAAGCCTCAGGTAGAGCCATTGTGAGGGGCAGGACTTCTCAAATTTCTAACTGGCAACTCTTCACATATGTCCCCTCTCAACCATTAGTTTACACCTCAGAGGTGGATCTAAAACACCAGCTCACTGGGCTTTAGTTTGCACCTTTCCTACAAAAAGATCATATGGGACATGACACTCCTCCCTTCTCTGCCTGGGCTCACTAGGGGAGACTTGGGCACTTGATCTGCCCAAGAGACTTGTGCACTTGATCTGCCCAACAGTACTGGTTTAACCCCTCTCTTCCCATAAGAGATTGCGTCCAAGTTGCAGGCTGTGCCCTACAAGGTAGCTACAAAGCCTTGGAGTCATGTTCTCCAAGGCTCACTCTTCCACATCTTGAATACGTCCAGTTCAGGGAAGCTGTACGGTAAAGCAGCACAGCTGAGAGGCATCTGAGTGACTCTGCCTTGATGCACTGCACTCCTCCTGGAAGAAGAAGGATGGAGGGGATGATATTTTAGTTTTGATTTGTTTTCAATTTGTTTTCATGGAGCCCAAGATATTTTCAGCATTAGTCCGGCATCACAAATGAAAATACTAATGAATTTTGTTGATAACAAGACAGTTTCCCAAGAGGATGAAAATAAACTGACAAGAACTTGGCTACAAGATGGAAGAAGGGCTGGTCCGCAAGTGGCTCAGGACAGTCTGGTTATAGTGAGTTTAATCTAAAGTTTACTGACTAAAGCCCACTCCAAAACCTGCTTTGGCAGGAGAAACAGAAGGCTTTTCTCCTAAAAATAAGCCTGGCATTTTTCTCTTTCAAGTCACACCTCCCTGCACACGTGCTTGAAATCCAGGGGGTGGCCTTCAGAGCTCTCTCAGTCTGGCATAGTGCTGAGAGGCTCTGGCACGCTGCACACACCTGCTTTCAAAACAAGGCAGGCTGCCCCTTGCAGTGTGCACGCTCAGACACATAACTCAGTGGGAGCCCAGTATCTTAAAGATCCCAGCAAGCTGATTGATTAATTAGCATGGAATAGAATTAATCTGGCATTATTTGCAGTAAAATGTCATTGCAGTGAGAGTTAATATCTCTACTATATATTGGCCCATTTTCTTTCATATGAAGACACATACATCTGACATCAAGTCACGAGGAAAGCTGTTACATGATTGACTTGCAGGTATCAAGATGTAACTGGAAACCTCGTGCTATCTATGGAAGTGCAGATTGTTTGGTGTGGTACAATAGGTTACATTCCATTCTAATCCTGTTCCAAAATGAAACAAAACAATATAAATACATTTAAAGGTGATACTGTACGGGATTTGTTGGACAAACAGAACATGATTGTCACTGTATCCCTTGAGGTAGTTTTGGCAGGGTTTTAGCATGCACTCCTCAAAAAAAAGGGTCTGGAAGAATCTGAAATCTGAAGGCAGAAAAGAAAAAGTGGGGCAGTTTGTTCATATCACAACATGCCAAAGGAGAACAAGGCTGACAAACAGTAATTGTTTCATAAACAAAGGAATCTAACACCAACCTCTGCAGAAGATGCAGATAGTCATCCTCACAGGATCAGGCTGGTTGGCACATCCAGCCCTGGAGCCTGCTGCCAGGGACTGCCAAATGCTCTAGAAGGTGTGAGACACTCTCACCGGGTATTACAAGAGCATCCCTCACCAGTACAGCTGGGGAATATTTTGTTGTCTTGTCTTGAAGCAGAGCAGTCTACAATGATTTTAGGGTTTTCTTACAGTTCTGTATTACACAGTATGGACCCATGTTTCTCTCATGTAATCTTTGTCAAAAGACTCCATGTAGTTCCCAAATTATGGTTAGTGCATTTGACAGAACTTGTGGGTCAGGAATGGGACGGATCAAAGGAGATGCTGTGCACTCCTGGACATCAGAGCCATCCTGACTGAAGCTTTCAGAAACCGCTCAGGAACATTGACACTCTAACATAAAAATCTACTTTAGAGCAGATTTTATAAGCCTCTGGCATATAACCAGTGCCTGCAGAATTTACCTGCTCCTTGTTGCCTGTACAAACTCTGTACTTGCATATATAAAATAAGAAAGTATGCACACGACTATAAATAGAAATATCACATTAAAAAGCAATTGGATTGTACTACTGCCTTAAATCTTGTTATACTTATTTACACCAGCAAGGATAGCTTCTAGGTTCTCCACTTGTTTATCTCTGACTCACCCCCTGACCAGCACTGGATTTACTAACACAAGCCTTCACGGACATTTCCTTTCCACATATAAACCTTGTTGTGGCCCACGCTTACATACTGTGTTTTACTGAGTAAGCGAGACTCTGTGATGCTACCTATGGCAAATACCGCCCACAGAACTGATAAACAAGTTTTCTGTTATGTTAGTTTAAACGAAACTTCTTACAAATAGAGGAACCACACACAGCAATACCTCCCAGACAGAGCATCTGCTGTCTGCACGACAAGGAGCTTTGCCATAGACAAAGAGCAGGGTAAGAGCGGGGTCAGGTACAGGTAGCACGCAGGATGGAGGGTGCTGTGCTAGTGACAGCGAGTTGCTCTGCCTACCAGAAGCTACTGAAAACTGCTGAAGGCAGATGCTCCCTGCTTGGAAGCATGGGAAATCATTCCAGAGAGGGAAGGAAGGGAAAAGTGACAGTGTCCCTTTCTCTTAGATAGGGGGTACGGATTTACAAGTTTGCAATGTTGCTGCACCCGTTCATTCTGCACAGAGAATACGCAAAAGGCTCCTGCAGCATCCCATATCCATCTAAGCTCTGCAACCAAGTGTAGGCAACTGTCATGTGAACAGTACAGGAGCCACGGCTCCCTGCCTGGGCACTCGCAACCAGCTCCAAACCAAGAGGTGATGAACGTAGCCTGGTGCTGCAGTATACTTTGCTGCTACCCAGTCAGATCTGCAACAATGGACAGCAAAATGCCTGGTTGCACTGTGCTTCACCTGCCTTAACACACTTTGCAAGCCTTTGTGCCATTTCCTTCTCCCCCCCCGACACACATGGGCATACTGCCATGCTCTCAATTTACCAGGTGCCCAGTGATTTTCCACGTTATGAGACAAAACTGTTGGTAGGCTGTCAGGTTCCTGCACCACCAGTTGACCACCCCTGGTCTCAAGGAATGAAAAGGAGCCCAAGAACACACACTTCCAGCACTGGCATCAGCTTATCACGTGGTCCTCAGCAAATGGTGACGGTGGCCTGCTCTCCACCACTGTTGCCCTTCTGCTCAACAGGGTGTCTGATTTACCTACATCACGGACCCGCTGCAGATTGACCAGGCAGTGCTGGCAGAGTACTCTGGAGATGTAAGCAGCTGTCCAAGAGATAAACACTACTCACAAATGTTTAGAAATACCACATTTGCCTTTGTTTGCAGTGTTGTAGTATTTCTGATTCTGCTTGAAAGCACATAACATAAAGAATTTTAAAAGCACTCACACAAGAACCTTCCCACATTCTTATGAATTTCCTACAAGACTTGGGATCTATTTGATTCAGATAGCCTTTACAAATTCTAATTTTACTTAAGCTTCTTACATTTCCAAATTTCAGAGTGAGTAACTCAGTTTTCTTTTAAAACCATGAGAGACACTCTCAAAGTTCAGCTTATAGTTTTGAGATACTGTTTAACAGAATTTTGCATTTTGAGGTGAAGGTAGTGTACTTACCAACAGCCTCCTGCAATAACCAAACCGCCGGCTCCCATCTTCCCCAGTCAGCATGAAAGAAAAGGTCTCACTAGAAGAAAACAAATTGCCCAGATCTTACTATCAGAACTACAGCACAGCTACAAGGTAGATCATTTAGAAAGGGATACTGCCTTATCCAGTGAGAGATTCTACCCACTGGAGAGTCTTCTCGCCCTCTGCCCATCATCTGGACATACCCTGTGGACAAATTCCATCAGCAGTAGGGCAAAAATACTTGCATGGTTGTGGAAAACCTAGCTATCTTATAATAAGAGGAGGTAGATGCTGAATTTCAGTGACATGGCAGTCCCTTTGTACTGCAGAAGGAACCCAAGAATCCGATTTGGAGGGTAGTATTCAAATGCTGTATCTGCCCTACCTTTTAGTTAGATCCTGTCTTTGGACTGTGCTTTGTTCTTAAAGGAAGAACCTTAGATACTCTCTGAGAGTAGAGAAATTATTTTGCAATCCAAAAACAATACAGATTTCCAGAATCCAGCTCATTTAATATCCCTAAGATAAATACCATTTGTGACAGAGAAGTAAAACAACAGTTTAAGGCTATAATTACAGCACAGGTAAAGGGATGGGTCTGTGAATTTTGTGTTTGGACTGAGAAACATTCCTGACTGCTTTGCAAGTTTTAAATGGCATTATATAAAACACCTTTTCTTCATGCTGGAATGCCAAGGTTTATATAATTATAGCTATATATGGGAGGGATATCTTGTTTGACAAATGTGGGTGCATGAAAGGTCTGTCTAGAAGAGCAGCAGCTGAAAGAAGTGAAATGCTGTGTAGGCTGGGCTGTGTGCTTCACATACCAATGTTTCCCACACAGTTGCCTGCTTCTCCTTCAGTGTTTTCAATAACTGACAGATCAACAGGTTCTGACTCATCAATGCAGGGGAAAAATAAGAGATCATTTTTTGAGGTTTCTTTTGAATTAAAAAGAAAATGCAAGCCTGGCTCTCCCTTCTCTTGCCCTTCTCCTGTAGTCATTCAATTCTGAGCGAAGGAAGACAGGGCTCCTCTGCTGGTACAGAGCTCTGCTCCAAGTTCTCAGAACAGCATTTCTTTGAGCCAAATGAAAAGGTGTCCTGAAGTGTTCAACAAGCATTCTGGGGTAAATGACTAGGGCAGGTGGTGGCAGGGCCCTGTCCTTTATAAAATTTATTTTAAATACTTCCATTTATGCTTGGGTTTAGCACTGAGAAGACCTCTTCCCTTCAGACACACAGGTCTGTGAACCAGGCAGAATAGAGAAGAAAAATAATACAGAATCTAAAAAAAAAAAAAAATATTAAATACAGCTGCTTGAGCCTGAAATGGCCAAGACTCAAACTGCTGCTTCCTTAATTGGGCATCGGTGAGCCTGCGGCTGTTCCAGATGCGCTCCATCAGCACTGCAGCAGAGCACAGGAGGGTTTACCTGTTGTACTCGGAGACAGGGAGCCAGTCCTTGGCATCAGGAAAGCAGAACTGAGGGATAGCCTTGAGACGCTCCTCCGCTTCACGCATTTGCTTGGTTGGTCTTTCTAGCTGTGGGGGAGAAAATTGAGGTTCAGTCAGTTACTGTCAGAGCCAGCTTCACAGCACCTCTCAGGAACGGGGGTTACTCATGAGCTCTGAAGAGTGAGGGCCCATCAGCTTGTTCTTTATTTGTGCTTGGCAGAGTGAGGCATGACCCCAGGACAGACTTATAGACAATAGAAATAATCACTGCGGTTTTTCTAAAATCTTTTTTAAAATTGCCTGAAACTCTCTTATTGCACAAAGGCCATTTAAAACACTGTCCTAACTCAAATTCCTTTTCTGCTGCGAGAGCATAAAAGAAATGCCATAGATCAGCAAAAGTCTTTCCATTGACTTCAGCGAATTTTGGAACAAATCCTAATACGGCCAAAATGAGTTAAAAGTGAAATATTTAGAAATTGAATTTAAACAGTCTTTAAAGCACCTCCCGTTAGGCCAAACTCTCCAGCACTGGAAAAGATGAATCTGTAAACAGGGAAAGCTTTCAGTCATCTCCTCTATGCCCTTTGCTTAGTAACAGATTGCTTTGGAAAAATTATGAAAACTGAATTATTAACTCGATTTAAAAAATATATTTCTATTAATTTTCCCACTTATTCACTTCATTGATCTTTGAATGAACTGTACATAGCAATTTTTATTTTACCTTGGGAAACTGATATGTCACTTCTGGGAGGTAAGTGTTTTTAGAAGGCTTCTTTTTCAGTGACACTACCACAAAATACTCAAATAACTCCCGTTCCTGCCACTCAATCAGCTCCAGTTCCAGGGTTCGATAACTTGGAGCCCTCTTCAGCATTGACTGGATGTGTACTAGACGCTGGGTATGAGCTTGCATTAAAAAAAAAAAAAAAGAAAAGAAAAAGACAGATCATTACCTGGGACTGTGATGTGTACATGTAAACCACAGCCATTCACAAAAGACTTTCAGCTTGCCATTGTATTATTCCAAGCATGTTCTCCTTTCAAAAGCAAACCTTCACAATGTAGTCTCCCTCACTAATTGCTCCCATAAATCAAAACTCTCTCCAAGTACTGAAGTGATGCAACACAAAATCACTGAAATTGCAGTTCATAACTGTTACCCTTCCAAAGGTCTGCTTTTTCTTCGCACATAAAACTAGATTGTAAACCCTTATGTGGGTGTGCAAATGCACTAGGGCCTCCAGGGTGACACACCTCAGGCCTGAATTTGGCCTGGTTTACATTGGTGAAAAACAGTTCTGTGACCTGTCCCTACACAGCACCACCATAGAACCACTGCAGGTGTATCTTCTCCTTCTCTACAGCACAGGCACAGCCCATACAAGCCATGGAACAATCTCCAGGGAAAGGGGAAGGAAAGAGGTGCGAATTGCATCCTGTGGGATTGCTTTGCTTGTGCCAGTTTGATTAAGAGGCAATCTCAGATTCGTGGTCACCTCCAGTCCCGATTCAAAGACATGTCTTGATGCAGTAACTTGCTGCTGCTTCTATGGCAGGCCAGTCAGTAGCATCATTATCAGTTCGGGTAGACCAACAGGTGAAAACAGCTCAGTAAAACCAGCTTCCTGCCTGCTCTTCCCCACCTCTTCACACCAGGATCTCTGTGCAATGGCAAAGGAATTATTAACAGCACGTCAGTCCCTGTAGGCTCTATTCACTGACACTGCCCACAGTTTGCAAAAGGCAGACTGTCCCTTGTGGTAGGGAAATAAGATGTCACAAGCACTTGATCACAGCAGTAATTAATAGACAGAAAGAAAGGGAAACCCCTTGATGTCCAGCCATCATACAACTGGTTCAACAACACAAAAAATAAAAACTGATAGAGCACTTAGATGTTGGTGTGACTGCACAACTAGGGAAGATAAATCCCAAGAAACAACCTGCCTAGTCCTGCCTCGAGATAGCCCCACACTGCCTGCCAGTGCTTCATGTCTGCAAGAGGTGAAACCAAAGAGCCCACCTCACTCCAGCAGATGGGGACCCAGTGAATCCTGTCATGTTCCACACAAAAACTGGATCTTTGGCTCAGGAAGTCCTAAGAGCATCAATGTAAACACAAGGTCACTCAGGAGCAGGCAGTTAGGGAGCCATCAGAACAAAGATCCTCCATTCCACAACAAGGGAGGGGGGAAAGCTTCCTAGTTTCCAGTGAAATCAGAATATCCCCAGAATAACAAGAGAGGGGCCAGTTCCTGCCTGTCTTCTTTCTTGCGGTACGAGCAAAAGTAACCCTATATTTTTTGACACAAAGAGAAACAGAACTGAAAGTGTTTTCGGGCTGGTACCTGCCTACAAAGAAGCGATGAGTCTTTTTCCACGCATCAGTGAACAATGTTGCATACATTGCCACCCCCTATCTGCAACAAATCTTTTTCCCTAAAACAATTTTTTCCAGCAAGTTTTCCTGCGTAAACAGTAAGCAGGTGACATCTGCAGTAGACAGACATGAATTCTTGCCCCTTATCTTATAACCACAGCTCCATACTCTTTTTTTTTCCCCTCCCTTACTAACAGCATGATAGGTTTTTAAGTAGTAAAATCTGTCTTTCCTGCCTTCAACTTTTTCATAGTTCTTTTATCTTATAACCACAGCTCCATACTCTTTTTTTTTCCCCTCCCTTACTAACAGCATGATAGGTTTTTAGTAGTAAAATCTGTCATTGCTGCCTTCAACTTTTTCCTAGTTCTTTCTGAGTATATCAGGACTCTTGAAAATGAGGGGCTAATTTACTGGCCTGGCTCAAGCAGAGTTTGTGCAGGTGCTGTGTGCCAATAAAGGAATTTCTACAATTGGGAGACTGCAGACCTATAAAAGAGTATAAGAATCTTGCCTCCAACAGCAACTAGTGGTAAACACTTAAAGCAATTTATGAATAAAAAGAAAGCATATTTATCCAATCTCATCCCTTTAAGTTTGCACCCAGTAGTCAGTCTGGAAAATATCAGCATCTGTGAAGTGGCTGACAAAGCAAATCTATCAAAGGTCCTGTTCTTCATTATATGACACAGTTGCCAAATCCTTGTTAGATCCTCACAGCTCATTTTGTCCTGGCTTTCCACATTCATGCTCCTGTGTTGGAAACTTTGTGAGCTCTGCAGTGATGGAGTTAGCATAGTTAGGGGAAGGAAAATATAGGCCATGGACAGGAACAGCATGCAGTAGCAGGAGAATGTCTGTTGATAAGGTCTGTGATGGTGGCTGACTAGAAGTTATTGAAGGCTGGTCCCTTACCTTTAAACCTGTCATCTGAGTCGCTCTCACTCTCGCTGTTCTCATCTGCAGAGGAGATAGAGGGATCAGTTAATGCAAAACCAAAGCAAACAAACTTGGTTTACTGCGGTGAAACTGAGAAAAATCGTGATAAGGTCTGTGATGGTGGCTGACTAGAAGTTACTGAAGGCTGGTCCCTTACCTTTAAACCTGTCATCTGAGTCGCTCTCACTCTCGCTGTTCTCATCTGCAGAGGAGATAGAGGGATCAGTTAATGCAAAACCAAAGCAAACATAAACTTGGTTTACTGCGGTGAAACTGGGAAAAATCGTATCTCACACTGAGCCTTGTGATCCACACATGCTCTCTCCTCAATTTTAAAATATCTTGACATAAACAGTTTGAATAACTCCTTAGATTGTGCTTTCCTTGGATTAAGTTTCAGTTTAGCTTGAGAATAAGAGCTTTGTTTTGATGAAAGTGCAAAATTCATTCTCCGTTACAGCAGCTCATTGCACTGAACCCCCATCTATGCTAAGATACAGAGGTGAATGTACCATTTGGAAAATGGATTTTTAACCCTTCTGCTTCTTTTTAAGACTTCAATTTTTTTGAAAAAGGTTATGCAGCACTTGAGAAATCAAAGAAAGACTTATGAGCTTTGTCTGTCTGGGCAACATTTTCAGTCACCAGAATCCACCAAACTGAGCGAGAATAACATGCAAAAGTAACCTCATAATACAATTTATTTCTGAGGTGTACTTACATTAAAGCTGTATTGTACTCTTACTACAAGCACGGTCTGATTTTCTTTTTGGCCCTTGCTTTTCAAGAAGCAGTCTGAAGTGTGAGTTATATTCACACAGTGTGAGTTATATTCACATGCCAGGGAAAAGCATGAATGAATTACAAGATCAAAAATGTGAACTTTGGACAAAGCATACAGATGCAAATTACTCAAAAAGTGAACTAAGAAGCAGCTGGATAAGTCTAGCTGGTCACGGGATTAATCGGATAGACAATGTTGAGAATCTCGTTTATTTTTAGCTCATCCCCATTTTCTCCTCTTGCAGACACAAAGTTATCATTGTTCGTAGAAGAAAGTTCTAAACAAAGTAGAGCCCAGGGTAGACGTGGAGGAAAGAAGGGAATCTGTTAATCCTGCAACATTCGAATGGATTCACTGAACCATGATGCTTCTGACATACCTCGTAGGGACGCTGTCTCAATATTGGACATGGAAAGTTTCTTCAATCGTTTTTTTCCTCTTTTTGCACTGTAGATGGAATTGATTCTTTGCACAAGCTGCAAAATAAAAAAATGAGGAATCAGTTAAGACCAAACACTTTCCTGCCAGGAGACTTTTAGTTAACCTATCCAAACAAAGATTTGACCATGAATGACAGGCCAGCTGAGCCCCCCCAAACCTTTACTATTTTCAAAGTGCATTTCTTATCTCTCTCATTTTGAATCCCATTCATGTGAATCACTTATTTTAAATCTCACTCCTTTACCTGTTTTAAAACACAATTAAACAACTCAGAAACTTAAATCCCATTTCCAAAAATCACGTAGATATTTGCAATAAAAGCACAATGAGCCTGAGGATGGAAAGGTAGCTGCTATCCTCTACCACCTCATTCCTTTCTCTCTATGCTGTTGTTTCTCTCTTCACTTGCATTGTCTAAGTTAACAGCAATCCATTAGCCATACCCAACTTTGCCAAACTCTCATGGACCTTAAGATCATATTCTTATTTTGAATATTAAGAGTGACATGTGTGTTAGCACCTCTCTGAACTGAGACTTTAGTGTGGCCAAATAAGCACGGGAGGAGATTGCCCTAAATTTTTAAAGCCTTTTCAGGTACAGTGTGAATCAGCCACTTTGAAGCTGTATCTCATCAGCTGAGGATCTGGCCCATATGGACTTCTCCTCCCTCTCCCTTCCAACTCCTGCTGTACTTACCTTACTTCAGAGATGTGGTATCTAATGTCTCCAATCTTATCCTTATCCACAAAAGTATTTTGAAGTTAGCTACTAGTACTGGCTGTAGCTGGCTTTAACCATCACTAGCCAGAATTCTAACCCCTGGTAATCATCTCTACGACTTCCCTCAGGAGGGCTGATAACAACTGTCTATCCAAAAAAGTATGAGATGAGGGAAAATATTAATGAGAACTTGTGTTTAATGCCTTCAACAAGAGGTTGGGATTACTGAGAATTCATCATTAAACAGAATTTTATAACTTCTGGAGAGTGATAAATATGTAGCAATTAATCTTCATAATGTTTTTCCTCTCCAACAGAGGAAGAGGGTCTGGCCCAGAACAGACAGTTCGAAGTCTTAAAGTCCTCGCTTGTTCTCCTGCTTGAAGCAGTAGCAGGGATTTTGTCTCTACATGCTGAATGACACAGACACAACCCACCACCAAGGCTCAGCTGGAACTTCTCTTCTTGTGGCCGTGTGCCTGGGGATCTGCACAGCACCCCAGCAGAGCCAGCAGATGAAATCCTGCCCAGCTCCAGCGCGTGCACCAGCCCAGAAACTCCTGCACAGAAGCACTAAACAAGATATCAGGAACCAGGAGCAAGGCGCCTTGCTGGGATTTTTCACTCCCCTCGGTGTGCTGCTTGGCAGTTGTCTGCTTGAGCTACTTCACCAGGGGTAGAGTACCTGCACTGTGGTGAGGAAAGCCCAGATGTTTAAAGCATTTGGTTATTGCTCCCCAAAGCATCAATGGGGGTGGTACAGAACAGGAGTTCATCAGGCTCCAGTTTTTCCCTCTAATAGACATTTTCTCAACAAAAACCCGAGATTCTCCAGTAATGTGTGATTCTAGGAACTAGAGTGGTCAAAAATTTCATATAAGAAGACTATCTGTCCCTTAAAAAAAAAAAAAAAAAAAAAAAAGGTTGGGTACAAAATTAACAGCCAAACTTTACAAGTTTTACTTAAAACCAAGTAGTAAGCTACCCTGTAACGTCACAGATGTATGCTCATTTCTGCAGTAAAATAGTACATTCCAAGACAGTAAAAATATAGCAAATATTAAGGACACAGAATTAATTTCCTCCTTTTTGTTTGTTTCCTGCTTAGACAGAATTTCAGACTAATTGACAGGAACATAAAAATCTCCCTCTACTCACAGTATTTACAGCCATGTACTTTGAAATATGCTCTCTAATAAGAAGAATATATAGTAAAAACCAGCTTTGTTCACAAGCCAAAAATAAATATATTTGCATGTTGTCCCCTACTCTGTTGCTATTGTACTAGAAAAGGTTTGTTGGGGTTTTTTGTTCTTGTTTGGTGGCTCGGATTTTTTTCACATCCCATTTTGAATTAGAAAACTTGAAAATTGGAAAATTAATTTTTACTTCAAATCCTTTGAGACAACAGGGTTATCAGGATGGGGTATGTTGTGAGTAAATGAAGGGAAATGTATTAGGCTAATAATAGTTATTTTCCTGAGAGCAATAAGCAAATGATGGGGGAAAAAAACACTTCAGATGCTGCTGCATGTCATAAATAATAATTGCTTGACCATCACCCATTCCAAAACATAAAGTTAGGTACACAACAATGCTCTGGCCCACAGAGCTTAAAGAAAAGTGTAGAAAACAGAAATGGCTTCAAATCTACTCTGTGCAAAGATGGCAATCAGATGTTTGCTCCTCTTGGACCAGGGCAGAGTTACCCACTTCTAGGGAAGGGATTTTCGTAGAAGTGTAGAAAACAGAAATGGCTTCAAATCAACTCTGTGCAAAGATGTCCTTCGTAAGACAGCCATATGTAAAAAAGGAGTATGTCTTGGCTCCTGGGAGTTACTGTTTCTCTTTTGATGTCAAGTTTCCTTTAGGATACAAAAAGAGATTTCAGTGATGACTAAAGGCTGGACAGGAATTTGTCTTGAAAATCTGCAGCTCTTGCAGACAGGTGACCTCTCCTCAGCATAAGCCTGATCACCCTGCCAGTACCTTTGGGATCCTCCTGGCCCGCCGTGTAGACAGCAGCTCGCTCGCGGTACTTAGGCTGTCCTCGTTGAGGCTGGAAGGGGAGGAGGGAATGCCAAGCTGAGCCAGCAGCAGCATGTCATCGTGGCTGTGCCGCTTGGGCAGCCGTGGTAAGCGGTGGCTCTTCCTTTCTGACCAGTTCCCAACGCGCAGAGACTGGCTGCTGGGCTTCGAAGGTAGCTGCAGGAACAAGAACGGCTTGAGCTCTTCCTCTCCTCAGCAACACCTCGCACAAAAACAGCTCTTTGTGAGTGGTGTCTACACCAGGACTTCACGCCAGGTGAGCCACGGCTCTGTGGGATATGTGCGAAGAGAGGGTCAAAATTATGAGACAGGGGTCAGTATCTAAGACTTTAATGTCCAAAGAAAACAACAGTACTTTTGGCTTTGGTGCATTTCCATGCACCCACATCACATCTACTCTATGAGCCTTCAAAGCTAACCTAAAGGCTTGGCTGACAGCAGAACACCAACCTGATGGGCCTGATGCATCTCTTTAACTTGCAGTAGTGAAAATCAAGAGCAATTACACTGAAGCTGCTATTTTATCCTAGAGAAAAAAAGTAGAAAATCAAGCTTGCTGTATTTCCATGGTCTTAAGATGTTTTAAGATCTGCCAATGTGCAGAGGCGCAGTTACAGCTTTGTCCTGCATTCCCAAATAATTCCCTTTAAAACATAAAGCTGTTATCATTGCAGGGGGAAGGAAGAATCTCACTGACAGGATTAAGCAGCAAGTAACAGCTATCTTTAAAAAATTGGGGCTCTTTTGGAGCAGTCCTTCGAGTAGCTCTGCCCAGCTCTCCAGCTGCCTGCAAGGCTGGGTCCCTGCCCTCCTCCCAGACACAAACACTGTCAGAAGCTTAACCAGCACATCTAGAAAAAAGTAGTTATGTCAAACAGCTGCCAATTGGCATTTGCTAATACTTTATTAGCAATATTACAAGCTACAAACCCGCATTAATAAGTGTCCCAGTTTTTCTACTTGGAGGGCTTACCTATTACAATGCCATACTGTCTGGGATTAAGCATAGGTGTTTCTGTATGTGTGGGTGTTGCATCACAAATACAATATCATCCATAAAAAACTTTTTATATCTGATTACTTCAAAAACTGAAAGTAACAAATGGGAAAGGAGAAAACACAGTGGGATTCAAAATGACCACAAGCCAGTGCTTCTGAGGTCTCTGCTTTACCACAGGTTAGCATGCCAGGAAACTCCACAGAAGTCTATACTTTAATTAAATGAATTCTTTTTGGTGATCATTGTTGAAAGCCTGCTGACCTTCTGATCTCTTCCATCTTGTTTGTCATCATCTGTGACTGAAAAGTCATGTTGCTAATACAGCTGTGTTGCTATGCCGGAAAAACTGGGTGATAAAACATTGTCAAAGCTGCCATTCTTCAGGAAATTGAGACTTTTCTATTTCTGGTCATTGGAGAATTATCCAGGCCCATTGCTGACCTGCTCTTAGTGTCTCTTCGCTTTATATATCAGCATAATGACAGCACAGTCATGGCAGGACTGACTTCTGGCAGGAAACTCCTGGCAGCATTTCAAAAAGAAGCTACCAGAATAAAGATAGCCCTGTTGCAAAGATACCAGAGAGTGCTCATTTACTGAACAACTTCAGAGAAGTCATTTTAATCTGTATATTCTTTGCTTACCCTGTGTAAAACAGAGAACAGCAGACAGTATCTTACCATGGACCTGTACTGTGCCTACCCTAATGGTACATCCTGGTGGATCCTCTAGAAGAACCCTACACAATTCCTGTTAACACAAACACAGCCAAAAGTAAATGTTATGCATAGTATGTCTCTCACTGCGAGGTTATCTCCATGGCTGCAGTTTCTGTTTCTCCTTAGTCTACCTGATTACTACTTTACACTTGTTCTTTGCCATACCTCTGCTGAAAACACTCCTGTTTTATAAATGTGCTAGGCGCAAACCAAGCATCCTGGTGATACTTCTTTTGTCTCTTGGACTGTGATGCTCACACACACACAAAATAAGTGAAAGAAAATATATTCACTTTTGTTCTAACTCTCTTTACAAGACAAAAACATAAATTGTGACCTTTTGTTCAACTACAATTTTTCTGTTCATTCAGTGCAAAACAAAGTTCCTTTAAAAGGTGTTTTGAATCTTAAAATTAAGTATGCGATGAAATTTATATTTTTCCTTATGAACACAAGGATCCCAGAAACCAAGCAACCTACCGTTTCATAGCACTCACAAACAGACTGCTTTGGAAAATTCACCACAAAACGGAAAATCTGCAGAGCTCCTGGTCTTTCACTTTATGCTGCAAACACAACTTATTCAGCCTTGTTAAATGCGGACACTCAGGATTTTTTGATTATTTTATTATTCATTTATTTCTTGGGGGGGGGGGCA